TCCAGGTGGTCTCACTTCCCTCTAGGCTCGAGGTGAAGGAGCAGAAACCTCTCCATCCTTTCTTCTTAGTGATCTGATGAGTTAGAGCTCCTAATACAGCATCCTTATCTTTCTCACAAAGTCCTCTCTCCAACTCTACTTTTTCAAGTATTTTATATCTCCCTCTGGGTACAAGCCAGACTTTGATCTGGCTTTTGGTTAATGTCTTGAAAATCTGCATACTTTTTTTTCCCCCTAAAAATCACTTTGGTATCTGATGTCTATCCTACCTCAGTGCCTCAGCTGAAACTCCCAAATTAAACATTCTGTTTCATGTAAATTATCATACTGCAGTGCAAAGCATGCCATAAGCATAGGTTTGGATAAGTTGAATGTTTGGTCATTTTGAGTTTCTTTGAGGCCATACAAAATTTGCCTATGATGCCTATGAATCTCCTTCCAGAGGACAAGATGCCACTAAGCTTTCAATCTGTCTTGAAACTCATAAAATAAGGGCACTGATTAAAAGCAAGCTTATTAGATGTTGGTCTGAGAAATTCAAGCATTTTCTCTCTATATATTGATAGCTCATTACTAATGCTTCACCTAAGACCAAACTATTTGTATGGAGATAACATGCTGCAGGGGAAAAACAGAGTTCCAATCGCAGAGAGATCTGGATTCTGTTTCTCCTACTTCTTATTTCATTACCTGTGAAAGTCAGGTAACCTTCCTAAGCTGTAATTCCTCATCTGTAAAATGGGAGAATAATGCGAACTTTCTTGGGTTATTTGATGATATTATATGTGTGGAAATTCCAAAGACTCAACCAGTTACTTGCCCTGATGAACATGGTCATTTGGTGGAGAGTTTTAAGTTTATTTGATGGAGAAGTATTGTCGTTTAAATAGTCACTGACAGCAGCCCCTTCTTATAAGAGTAGTGTATATTGCCTTTGCTTTAACACAAATCTTTTTGACGGGGCTATTTGTTTATGAGAATATAGGCCTCAGGGTATGCACCAGAATTTGAAGAAATATGAGGAGAACTAAAGTGCCCTGTGTTATAGAGTAAGAAATTTAGAGTCTAACACAAGCATAACTGTAGTGTCACATCTATCCCTGTCTCTTACCCAAGCAAACATATGTCATTAGGTGGTAGTGAGCAATGTAATTTTTCAAGAAGATGGAAGGGTGTCTTAAATCTCAGATGAACAGCAATTTCATTTCGAGAAAGCCCATCAGATAGACTTATTTTTATCTGCAGAGTGGCCCTCCTCAGCCTCCATATAGCCTCTAGCTCCTGGTTCCAGGCTCTTCCAAACTCCCAAACTTCCTTATGTCCCTTTTCTTAAGCAAAGCAATTTAGCTTTGCCCAAGTTTTTCTGATTTTGCATCTTCATAGTCTTCACTGAACTCTTTCTTCAAGTATGTGAAAAACCATTACAATGAAAAATTATGTGCTCAACAGAAAAAAGGTCTTTTAACTTCTAGGATTCACTCTCCTTAGAATTTGTAAATTGTGAATGTTTGTAGGCTTTTCATCATTTTTTTTTCTTGTCAGAGGAGTTTCCAGGAATAGCTTAGATGTAAGAGAAGATGGCCTGGAAAGCTGTGTAAGGGGGCACAGAACTTCAACTGGCCCATATGGCACTTTGTGCAGCTCCAGGCAGATGTGGTCCTGCTGCAAGACATGAGCCCCAGATTGTGGAGCAGAAAATGAGCTGAATTTTAGTCCCCTACTCACCCCTTTAGCCAAGCATCCTTGTGCAGTGAATAACCTGCACAACTGTATGTGGTGGCTCTGGAGAGGGAGGAATAAAGTAGCAAGTAGAACCTTTGGGAACGGTGACTTGTGAGACGTTGCTGATGCCTCAGGGGCTGGAATAATTTTAAAGGCAGGATTGGCTAATGTTCAATTGTAAAGATATCTGCTGAGAAGCAGTATATAATTTCACTTACCCTGGAGCCATCAGTAAAGCTGTCTACTAATTAAGTCTTGAGTTGGTGGTACTTTGAAAAGTGGAGGGATAGAGTCTGAGTTCGGGTGATACAGCACTTACTTGAGGTAGAGAGACGACTGGGGACTAGAAACAGCGGTAATGTAGGGGTGATAAGGAGCAGTCTTCAGCCTAACCACCCTTTCACAAAGATCCTGGAGAAGTGTGCTTTCATCACAGGGGAAGGCTGGTGCTTCCTTTCTATGAGTGGAGTCCATAACTAGATCATAGGGTATAATGCTGAAGAGCATGAACTCAGACCACTGGAGTCATAACCCAGTGTGGGGGGTGACCCCCAGTGGTCCCCATCTTCTGTGTTCATACCCTGTGTAATCTCCTCTCTTATAGGGTGGGCTGGATCTGACTACTAACTTTTAGGACACAGAATATGGCAGGTTGGAGGTGATGTCACCCCTGAGAGTACGTTATAAAAAGGCTGTGCCTTTAGTCTTAGGCACTCCCCTTTTATCCTTTCTTACTTGCTCTAAGGGGAGACAGATGGCTGCCAGATTGTAAGCTACTTTATGGAGAGGACCACGTGACATGAAACTGAGGAATTTGCTGGCCTATAACCAGCAAAGAACTGAATCCTGCTGACAGCTACATGAATGCGTTTAGAAGCAGATCCTTTCCCAGTTAACCCCTCACGTGAAACCTCAACCTTGGCAAACATCCTGAGTACAGTCTATGAGATAACTTGGGGTGGGAACACTCAGCTTCACTGCTCTATCAGTTATCTGTTGTGTACCAAGTGATCTCAAAACTCAGTGACCTGAAAAAAACAGTAACATTTATTATCTGTAGTTGCTGCGGGTCAGGACTTTGGGAGGCGTCCACCTGGGTGGTTCTGGCCTGAGATTTCTCAGGAGGTTATCATCAAATGCTGGTTGGGGCTACTGTCCCCTCAGGGATTGACTGAGCTGGAGGTTTCACTACCAAAGTGGATCAGTGACGTAGCTGGCTAGTTGATGGTGGGTAGGAGGCCTCAGTTCTTTGCCACCTGGCCCTCTCCTTGTGACTTCTTGTGTGTCCTCACAGTATGGCGTCTGGCTTCCCCCAGAATAAGTGATTAAAGAGAGTAAGGTGGAAGCTGAAGTTGTTTTAATGACCTAGCATCAGAAGTCACACCATTACTTTTACCATAGCTATTGACCCTACAGACCATCCCTGATCTAGTGTGAGAGGGAACTGCCCAGGGGTATGACTACAGAGAGCAAGCTACTTGACCTTTGACTGGTTGCCCAACATTGCTAAACCTTAGTTTCTCCCACTTTGAAATGGGGATATAATGGTAGCTGTGTTTTAGGGTTTTAATATTTCAGATATTAGCACTTAGTAACCACTACATGCAAATTCTTTCTCAGTCTAGTTTAGTTTAGTAAGTTTTCTAAAAAGGATTTGTGTGTCACTAGAAGATGATGGGTGTTTCCAGTCCAGCCATCTTGAGTTAGAAGCGAGCCTTATGTGTGTCCTCAATAAATGTTTGCTATCTTCATCGTTATTATTACCAGTTATGAAGATATTACTGCTTATACTGCATAGCTGACCCATCTTTCTTAACACAGTTTCAGAGGGATTCCATAGATGATTTGTTATATGATCATCTTACAGCTGAAGTTCACTGGGAAGCTATCTAATAGCAGCTCTTGATTAAACCACATTTAACACGTTATGACCTAATAAAATATTCAGGCTGGTGAGACTGCCTCATTACATGCCACAGAAATTAAAAGTGCAGCTTCTAATATAAGTGTGCTGTCCTTAATGTGCTACTAGAGAGCTTTTCGCTGACAGGGTCAACAGAATACAGAACATGCCTGATCCACACTATCTACAGATCAGTTCAGACATTCTGAGTCCTGTTTAGACTGTAAGAGGGGTGTATTATACTTGCTTTCAGCCTCACAAAGGCAGAGTACAGATTCTGCAAGAAAATGGGATATAGTTTTAGGAATAATTTGGTTATAAAGAGCAGAAGTTCAATCAAGCTTGCTAAAGAGTAGGTGCATTTATTTTACATGTTCAAAAAAATCTCACAGATTGCAGCTATTGGAAATAGCCGTCTCTCATGAGACTGGAAATTCATCAAGTGATCTCTCCTTCTCTCTTGCCACATGGTCTCCATCTCTCACTTTGGGATCTGTGTGAAAGGCAAATTCTAAAATGCTCTATAGTGACCACTCCTTCCTGGTATTCATGCCTTTATGTCATCTTTCTTCCCTTCAGTGTGGGCTGAACTTACTGACCCACTTCTAAAGGTGGAAGTAGTGGGATGTCATCTCTGAGGTTAGGTTGAAAAAGATGATGACTTCAATCTTGGGTATATTTACTCTTTCTCTCTCTCAGAACACCTGTGCTGGAAGAAGCAACATGCCATGGTTTCAGTAGCCATATGGAGAGGCCCAGATGGTGTGACAGAGAACTGAGGTCCTCAGCCCAACAGTCTATGAGAAACTGAGGCCCTCAGTCTGAAAGTCCGTGAGTAACTAAAGCCTACCAATAACCACATGAACTTGGAAGTGGATTTCTTATCCCCAAATGAATTGTTGAATCTTGATATGGTCATAGTCCTAGCTGACAGCGTGACTGTAACCCCATGAGACACTCTGAGTCAAAACTACATAGCCAGACTGCTTCTGATTGTTGACCTCCAGAAACAGTGAGATAATAAATGTTTGTTATTTTTAAGCTGCTAATTTTGGGTGTAATATATTATGTAGCAATAAATAATGAATACAGATTTTGATGCCTAGAAGTCGGTGCTGCCATAATGAAAACCTGAAATGTAGGAGTGGCTTTAGAACTGGGAATTGAACTAAGTGTTAGTGAAATTCTAAAGTGCCTGAAAAATCTGTTAATAGAGGCTTATTGGTCTCTTATAAGACCCTGAGGGTGATTGGTGGCAGAAACTGAAGAAAAAGGGAATCCTTGTTATGTAGTGGCAGAAAACTTAGCAACATCATGGCTTGTAGTAATGTGAAAAGTAGAAAATGCACTTTGTGAATTCGGTGATCTAGCTTAGCAGTTTTCCAAGCAAAGTGTTGAAAAGTGCTGCCTGGTTTCGTCTTGCTGTTTATAGTAAAATGGGAGAGGAATGGATTAAATTGAGGTAGGGCTGTGAAGTACAAAAGAGCCAAGACTTGATAGTTTTGAAAATTCTGTTTTTCCAGATGGCAACTGGTACCAAAATTAAGAAATGGCTTTTGATCAAAGATCAAAACAGAACAGTGTTCTAAAGATGAAGCAACCGACGTGACTGTCAAAACTTCTGTTAAGATCTCAGAAAGAGCAGAGGTCATGCTCACAGTCATAAAAAGGGCCCTTTAAAGAGATTGATGGTATATCTCACAGATTCTCTCAGTGAAACAATAGTTCTTCTAGGAAGCTGAGGTCTTTCTGCCTCAGCCAAGGCTCAAAGGAGAGAAGAGCTTATTTCAAGATTTGTAAATGTGACTTTTATCTAATGGAGTAAATCCCAAGATGATTCACAGGAGACCCACAAACATCTTAAAACATTGCCAGCTTGGACTCAGGGAAATAGAGGCAGTGTGGAAAGAGGAGAGGCTTTTGGACCCCAGAATTATACTGGAAGGAAGGAGACTGTGAGAGCTGTTTTGCTGTAAACATATGCTAAACTTCACAACAAAAGGAAGACTCAGAAGGCAGAATAAAGAACTGAGAAGGTAAAGTTGAGTCAGGGAAAATTTTTCCCAGGCCTTGAAATCTAATCAAGGAACATCCAACCTTTGGCCAGCTGGATTTCAGAACTACCATGGACCAATGAATTCTTTGTGTATTCAGTTTTTTCCCTTTTTGACAGGTATGTATATATATACAGCAGTTTTTCAACACCTGTCTTCATTGCATGTTGTGTGTGTGTAGGAAGTGGGGGGAGATGACTTGTTGATCAAGAGGTATGCAATTTGAGGAGCTGTACTTAAGAAACTACACTTGAGAAGCCTCATCAACACCCAGACCTAATTTGGTTGACAGGATTCCAAACTTCAAACTCATACTATAATGGGATGAAACCTTTGATGCTTTGGGAGGAGATGAGGGAATTTTGCATGTAAGAGCAATGTGAACCATTGGGGTCCATAGGTGTCAACTGTGGTGGGCACCACCTAAGATGGCTTCCAATGATGTTCCCTCTTAGTATTGCTCTTGTTATGATCTCTTCCCAGAATGGGCTGGACCTAGTAAATCACTTCCAATGACTATAACACAGTCAAAGGGATGGGATGTCACTTCTGAGATTAGATTTCAGATAGACTTGGCTTCCATCTTAGATGTGTATTCTCTCTTTCTTTCTTGGATCACTGCTACCAGGGGAAGCAAGTTGCCATATAGTGAGGATATCTATAAAGAGGTCCATGTGGTGTTGCAAGGAACCAACCCTCTTAAGGGGTTCACCCCAGAAGGAACTGAAATGTGGCAATAACCATGTGAGTGAGCTTAGAAGCAGATCCTTTGGCCCTAGTCTGGTCTTGAGATTCCTGCAGTCCCAGGTGACAGCTTGTCTACAGTGTTAGGAGAGGCCCTGAACCAGAACCACCCAGCTAAACTGGCCCCAGATTCCTAGCCCTCAGAAACTGTGAGATGATACATGTTTGTTGTTTTATAACACTGAGTTTTAGAGTAATTTGTCATGCAGCGGTAGATAACTAAGAGAGTGTACTTTCTCTTTCTGCAGACTGGCTTCTCTGCTGACCCACTGCTTTCACACGAGATTGCTCTGCTTACTGATCATAATTGACTAGCCAGTTAATTGTGGTCTCCGGATTCCAATTTTAAATTTTTGGAGAAAGAATCTCATTGTCCCGGCTTGGGTCAGAGGTTCCATCCTGATTCTATTTCCTTTACCCAGAAATGGTGGAGCATTGAGTACATAGAGCTGCCTTTTCCAGGCTTTTGGTGAGTTATGTGCTTATAAAGACAGTATCGAGGGAATGATGGGCCTTTTTAGAATTGCTGCTTTGAGAAAAGGTTCCCCTAAACTGTTTTTGTGTCTGGCAAAGTGAGCATGATTATTCATACATAACACAGTGAATTCAGGGGCTATAACATATTCAGAAGATTCAGTGAAAGTGCCATAGGATGATATTAACAGTGGTGCTTTTAGTTATACATACTAAATGGAAGTTAATGCTGGTTGCAACTCAGCAGTAATTAGTAAAGCTATTTGCACAGTATTTTCACTAAGGCAGTTGAGCTGACCACATTTTTTCCAGGCATAGCTGCACAGGTGATGGCTGGAGCTGTTGAGTGAGTGCATTGAGTGACTCCTTCAGGGAGATGTTCTCATTCATCAGGAATGATTCAGAAGTCTGTTTGGAAGGAATTGGCTTACACCACTGTGATGGGGAAGGAAGACTGCTGTGTATGCCCGGGGGCACTAGAAGTTACAGCTAACATTTTATGTTTCATTGGTGCTTTCTAGTTGCAAACTGCAGTGATTTTTTTTGTAGAGTAGGTTGAACTCAGAATTGTATTACAGTAATAAAGGACTGTCTTGTTGAAAGCCCTTTTCCCTTTTCTGCTTGATTATTGTTACCTTACATTGCACAGTGACTGAAATGTTCTAGAGGAGACTGTAAATTGTACCCTCAGATAGAAGAAAACCCACCCACGTATATGCTTTAGTGTTAGGAAAGTGAAAGTGAAAGAAGATTTGAATAAAATATTTAGAACAAAGAAGACTAAATGTATCACAGTATCAAAATGGTTTTGAATGTGAATATGTGTAGAATAATATTCACCTCTAATTGACTACCTAGTCGTTTCTGTAATTTTGACACTGAAGCTTATACAGTGAGGTTAAGGCACAGGTGAATGTGCACACCTGCCTCCTGAACTCTGGGACACCGGGTCAGGCACCAGTAGTCCCAGTTCCTTGGGGGCTCCTAGGCATTTATGACTGTTTAATAATTGAGGAGAAAAAAGAGACTGCTTTAAATATTGGGAGGGTTGGGGGACAAAGATGTTGCTCCGAGGTGGGAAAGAGTTGAAGGAATGAGCCACTTTTCAAACACAGGAAGGCTGAGAGTGTGGCCCAGGGAGGCACCACCTGAAGCCACCCCTGGCCCAGCCTCCTGAGGAACTTGGTGTTAGTTTTGGTACAGAGGGTTTTGTAAAACTGAAAGAGTAGAGCTATATGTTAGGACTGCAGGATCAAAGCTCATCTATGTTAATTGAAAGAAAGTCATCTTTTCTGCTCTTCATTTGGGGCAGAATATACAGTAAACTTTCAGCAGATCTGGTGCCATTAGGCAGCTTTGAAAAAGTGCTGGCCAAGACAGTGGCATCCTGAGCTTTATAGGGTTGCATGAAAGGGATGAGAGAAGGGGACTAACCAACCACACCCATCCTTCTATCTGGTTATGGTGATGTGATCCAGTTTCCTTCCAAAAACCTTTTTGTGTCAATTCTAGCTGGGGGTCTGCAGGAAGAATGAATGGATAAGTTAAATGTAAAATTAAAATAAAAAATCTGAAACCCCATACTCTTATCCAATAGTCACCCAGACCTTTGAAGTTGTCCCTCGAGGGGCTGACATAATCTGGAGAAAGAATAGCTAGGCTTGCCCTGTGGAAGACTCTTTTTCTAATTAGAAATCGTGGATTCTCATTCAAACCACTAAGATCCCCTGTCAGCAAATGGAATTAGGCTGCCATATTGATGTCCACATTTGCAATATTTGTATGAAGCAGTAATGGGGCAGCCTAAACATGGTCTGTGCAGAGCAAGCAGATTTTGTATATGTGAAGGCAGCCATTTTTCCAAGGTTGGGGCAGGCTGGCACTCAGCATCCAAGCAGTTAGCCTCCTTTAAGTCTCCTCTCATTGCATGCCCTATGGGCGCCGTCAGTTTGCATCCAGTGGCAGCAAAATTCTCATTCTTTCTCTTGGCATGATTACGAGACAATTCTGGAGAGAGACTAGAGAGAAGATAGAGTGCACAGCCCACATTTTTGTTCTATAGATACCACCACTGAAATGTGCTTGTGAGTTAAGATGCTGTACTTCCCACTGCATTAGGCAATAAAACGCTAAGACAGGGCACCTTTGTTAAGACTAGAAAGAAAAAAACACTCCGACACAGTTCAATTATAGCAATGGTTCTTATGTTAAGATCACCAAGGGAGCTTTAAGAAAATCCTTATTATCTATAACAATTAATCCAGAATCCAAGAGTATTTATTAAAGCCTCTCCTGGTGATTTCAATGTGAAGTCAAGGTTAAGATTACTGAATTACAGTCTCAGTGCTCCTTAGAACTGCAAATATGGAACTCAGAAATATGTACCTAATGCTACCCCTATGAAGTCACATTTCCAATCTCTCAGATAAAATCGACTTGTCCTTGTGGCTGATAGTTTCATCTGAATCTATCTGTCTGTCTGTCTATCTATCTATCTATCCATCTGTCATCTACCAATGTATCTACCTATCTACTTATCCATCCATCCATCCATCTATCTTGGAATGGAAGGACGTGGCTATTCCTTGGAGAATCTTAAATGAAAAGGTGAACCAGATATATGTAATTTAATAGGCAATTAGTCATTAAAGATTTTTAGCTGGCAAAGAAACATGGTTGAACTTGCCTTACAAATTATCTGAAAGCAGTGGATTTCGTGTTGGGAGAGTGGACCAGGTCAGACCAGAAAGGGGTTTATTTTGCAATAGTAAGGTGAGAAGGAAGAGAGTCTTTAAGATTTTGATGATGAAAATGGATAAGAGACTAATATGAGAGAAAGAATGTTTACAAAATAAACATATATTTGCTTGACTGAAAAAATTAGAATGATTCAAGGAAAATTTGGCTGAGTAAATATTTGGAAACCACACGGGGGTTTCTTCTGTTAAACTCAAGGTCCTTTTCGGGGCCAGCCTAATCTTCCCCATTCTCCTTTTCCTCCTTACTGCACCCCCACGCCTCCTGCCTGGCTTCCCTCCTGCTTTCAAGCTGCTACCACTCAACTCATCCCTTGGATTTTCCAAGACTGATCTTGGAGTGGGACACAGTCCTTTGTTCCTTATTGCACTGGAAGGCGAGCACCCAGGCCCTGGAAATTTTTAATATTTTATTGCATATCACTGTGTATAGTCTTTTTCACGAATGAGGACCTGGGCATCATTCTTTTCACTGTTTTTACTCAGCCCGATAGCAATTTCCTTATCAGTTATCTAGTGCCACAACAATGCTGGGTGACAACCACCCCAAACTTAATGACTAAAACAATACATTTATTTAACTCATGAGCTTTCAGGTGAACTGGGTGGTTCTCTTAGTCTTGGCTGGATTAATTCACGTGATGACTGATCATGACTGGGATCTTGCACAGGTTGGGTGTTAGATGGCTCATTGTCTAGTCTAGAAAGGCCTTACTGGGATGGTGGAGGGTCTGTTCCATGTCTCATCCTCCAGCAGGCTGCCTGGGCATATTCTCGTGATGAAGGCAGAGGAGTAAAAAACAAGTGGAAATATGTAAATGCCTTTTCAAGCTTCTGCCTGTTAACATCCAATGGCTAAAGCAAATGACTTGGTCGAGCCCAGAAATCAAAAGTGAGACAGAGTACTTTGGCCAGAGAGGATGAAAACTACAGAGTTACAGGGCAAAGGCAGGTGTACAGGAAGCGGGGTGAAGAACTAATGTAATCAATCCTCCACAGTCCTTTTTCTCATTCTCTCCATCACTTAATTGAAGGGTCAGCCTTCCGCCTTGTTTATACTCAGAGTCCTTATGGAAACAGCTCAGGGGAGATTCTGTTAAATCCTTTGTCGTTATTCTTAGATTGATATATTAACCCAACTTTCTAAGTCCTTGGTAACAACAGCAACAACAACAACAACAAATCTAATGATAGTAATAATAACAATCAAATCTTACTCTGTAACAGCCATCATTCAGATTTCTTTACTGGCATTATGGCATTATTTAGTCCTCGTAACTACTCTTTTAGGAATTGCTATCCCTTTGCAACCACTTAGCATTTTGATGAATGAATTTTTTTATTAACTATTTTGAAAGCAGATCCCAAGGAATGAATATTTTAATAACTGAGATGTGGGAAATTAGCTTTATTGACAATACTGACTTTGTATGAACAACGTAACCTTGCATTAATAGACTGCATTTATAGGGAACTGAAATTAATAAGATATTCTTAGCCCCTGCCCCAAACTATAACCCACCCCGCTCTCCCAACTACATGATTTATCCATTGACTTTACTTTTCCTTTATTTTCTCATGTTGATAAAAACTTTTTCTAAATTTATGATGATATACAGAACTTAACAGGTTGTATAAACAACACAGCAGAAAGAGAGAAGTTCAGTTAGAATATTATGAAAAATTTTTCCCCATCGTCTTGCAGGAACCATAAAAAATGGGTAAAGGTAAGTTTTATTCATCTGCAGAAGCATGTAATATGTAACCACAAGAAAAAATCAGTAGTATTCTGAACATACATTTCACATTTCAACTCAGGGCATCTATCAAAACAAGGAGTAAGATTAGATTCATATAAAAATGTTTTATGACTCTGCAATTCCCCACCTTTTCTTCTACTATGGGTTGTATTGGGTCTTGGTGAAATTTGGTTCAGGTGCTCAGTGAATACCAATAGAAGTTCGCTGAGAATTACCCCAAGATGATGGTATCATTTAGAGCCATAAGTGTGCCATGGAAATGCATGTTCCAGATTATTAAATTTTATCACTTTAAGAGCCAAATTAATTACTTTTTATATTAACCATTTTTTGAAGGAAAACTAACACAAATGTGCTATTTTTCTGCTTCCTGAACTAAGCATACCAAATATTTTATTCATTTTGAGATGAGTAGGTCTCAGATTACCACTATGAATAATTTTTGTTTTATATGTTAATATAGTGTTTTCCTCAGGGGCTAGTGAGTTATGTAGGTCTGTTTGATTAATAACTTTAGGTTTTTTTAAAAATAAGTCTGGTGATTTCTTGCCTGTATTATCTCTTTCTTACTCTAGGCTGTTTCATTTTGACAACTCCCTTTCCTTGATACTTTTAATCTATTTTTTTCTATAACCCTTATTTCAGTATAAATCAGATAAACTTTCAAAACCAGTAGATTAAGTTATATTAAGTTATAATTCAGTAGTCTTTTGCCCAAGAGCCTGAGTCCCATACTTCTGAAAATACAGTAAATGCAGTTTATTTGTTTATTTGAAATATGTTTGAATGCAAATATCATATTTCATTGAATCTGAGATGTCAGTTATAATACAGACCACTGTTATGTGGACTACTAAAAAAGAAAAAATGTTGCATATTATAAGATGCATCTCCAATTTAGAGCTGTTAAAATGTGGAAAAATATGACTGTTGGAGATGAAATATGATATGTGAGTGAGATAATGGGATATGATGTGGGTATATCAGTGATCAAAGCAGGTAATACCTCTAATGGTGCTTACATTCAAATATAAGGGAGCAAATAATGATGTCAGGTGATCATGGGTGTTCTGAAGAAGAAGCTAGGCAAGAGGAAGGAAAGTGGAAGTGGGAGTGTTCTTTTAATAGAGAGTATTCCAAGAGTCAGGAAGGCATCTCTGATCAGACAATATTTGAGACGA